AGGAAAGGAACAAACCCCATCCTCCAGCCTTTGGGGAAGGGCATGGACTGGCCCTGTTAGTCAGAAGCCCACCTACTTCCTGCTCCAGGCAGCTCCCCGAGGGCCTGACCTGGCTTCTTAGGGGACTCAGCCCGAGGAAAGGTGTTGCTAATGGCACAGACAATCCCCTGAACAGGGAAGAAGTGGGAGGGAGTCAGAAGGCGCAGGCTCAGGGCTCTCCGTGATGCCGGCTGTGAGGCAGGGCGTGATCCCGTATCCTTGCTTGTCCCCAGCCTTCAGTATTACCTTTGATTTTCTCTATTCGCCCTGCTTCCCCAGACATAGACGAGTGCCGCCTGAACAACGGGGGCTGTGACCACATTTGCCGCAACACGGTGGGCAGCTTTGAATGCAGCTGCAAGAAGGGCTACAAGCTTCTCATCAATGAGAGGAACTGCCAGGGTGAGTCGACTTGGGCCAAGGAGAAAGCCCTGGACAGGTTCTTGGGGTGGAGAGTTTCAAGCAGGCCAGAGCCTGAGAAAGTCAGCAGACACGGTGGAGACCTTCTGTAAGCAGGGTCGTGCTGCAAATTAGCAAACGCACGCCTTCTTGGTGGCCCAGCTCTGCACTGGGGTGCGTGGCTTGGCAGAGGGAGGGAGGGGTTTCACCCCAATTCATATCCTTTGTAGGGTCTGACCTGCCTAACCACACACAGTGGCCCTGATCCAGAGGCATCCGGTCTCGCAGTTCCTGACTCCAGGGATGCGAGCGGAGGGCCAGGGGGTGGGAGCATTGCTGCATCGCTGACTCTAGGGCTGGGCCATTCATAGGGGCTTTCAATGGAAGGAGGGAGCCAAGGCCTCTCACTTGGGCCCTTCACCTGAGCAAGGGGTCCCAGGGCCAAGTCCCCCAAGACAGACTCCGGCTTGCATCCTTGCTCTTCCAGATATAGACGAGTGTTCCTTTGATCGAACCTGTGACCACATGTGCGTTAACACACCGGGAAGCTTCCAGTGCCTCTGCCATCATGGCTACCTGCTGTATGGTGTCACCCACTGTGGGGGTAAGCCAGAAAATCTGCACCCTCGGCTACCAGGCCCCTCTCACCTCCTCACCGCTCAACTGAACGAGCCCCTGAGTTGGCTTGTGGCTATGGGCAAATCCCCAGGTACACGTGCCATGTCTGCATCCATCAGGATGAAATGGGAGGAGTTAAGACAACTGGGAATCAGGTATCAGGGACTGGCATCCTGCCTCCAAAATTTCCATCTCCCATCCCCATCACTTTCCCCTGACTCCTATCCTCAGCTCCCAATTACAGCCCCACTGGTAGGTAGCAGGGGAAGGCTTACAAGGCTCATCACCTTGGCCCCTTCTCAATCATTCTTTTGACTGTGGACAGAGATAAAGAAAGGAGGTCTTCGGTTTGACCTCTTCTCAGACCGGTAGTCATCTTGAAAAGCTTGGAACTCTAACCCGGGGTCCTTACTCACTGCCCACTCCCTGGCTCCTTCTCCTCCTCCTCCCCCCAGATGTGGATGAGTGCAGCATCAACCGGGGAGGTTGCCGCTTTGGCTGTATCAACACTCCTGGCAGCTACCAGTGTACCTGCCCCGCAGGCCAGGGCCGACTGCACTGGAATGGCAAGGATTGTACAGGTGGGCATCGCCCTCTGCTGGCCGCAGCTGGCACTACCATTTCAGGGGTTCTGGAAAGCAAAGCATTTCACGTTGAGGAAAGTGAGGTAGTAATAGGGGTGGAGAGTGTAGCTACCTGTTAGACACAGGAAGGCTCCAGGAAATAACCCTTTCCTTCCTTCATCAGTCTCTGTGTAAGTGACAATTACAGTTCTGCACGTAGCTAATTCTCTTCCTCCACATCACCCAGCTGAGGGAGAGGGTGAGACCAGCAGGCCCGCTCCTCCTCAGGCTTCTCTCCCTTCCTAGAGCCTGTGAAGTGTCAGAGCAGTCCTGGTGCCTCGAAAGCTATGCTCAGCTGCAACCGCGCTGGCAAGAAGGACACCTGTGCCCTGACCTGCCCCTCCCGGGCCCGGTTTTTGCCAGGTACATAGGGGAGATTGTTGGAGGGCCCGGGGGGAGGGAGGGGGCAGGGTAAGGGGGGAGGAAGACTGGCTGTTCAGGCAGCAACTCTGCTGCCCTTAGAGATGTCCGACCAGTGAGGGTTTTTGGGGGGCAGGTCAGAGCTGTGACAGCCCCCTTCTCTCAGAGTCGGAAAATGGCTTCACGGTGAGCTGTGGCACCCCCAGCCCCAGGGCCGCTCCAGCCCGAGCTGGCCACGCCGGGAACAGCACAAATGCCAACCACTGCCATGGTGAGCACCAGCCTAAGGCCTGTTCCCACCCCATTCTCTTGCTAATTGACCCCGATTTCTCTTCTTCGCTAACCACTGGCCTTACTTTTTTCTGGATTCCCTTTCTTTGCTCTGTAATTCTCCAGCCCTGCTGCCTTGCTCCCGCTTCCCCTAACATCTGATTGCCTTGGCTTTTGTAATCCCTCTCCTCCAGCCAAGCCCTGGCTTATTGCCCAGCTTCTCACTGTCCCCCACAGCCCTCATCCCACCCCCAGGGCTCCCAGGCTCTGCTGAGCTTCTCCCATCCCTCTAGAGGCTGCAGTGCTGTCGGTTAAACAGCGGGCCTCCTTCAAGATCAAGGACGCCAAATGTCGTTTGCACCTGCGAAACAAAGGCAAAATGGAGGAGGCCAGCAGAATCCTGGGGCCAGGTTTGGACTGGGGACCCCACTCCAATAGGTTGTCTGGCCATCAAACTCTTCCCACCCCTCAACTCTTCTGCTTAGTGAGATGGCCGAAAACCCACTGGACCCTGAACTCTAGAAAGAGCAGGGGCAAGAGCAGATGTAGGCATAGAGCCCAAGGAAGCCCCAGGACATTCTCCAACTAGAAGAGAAGGGAGGTAGAGGCAGTCAGAGATGTGGTGAGGAGTGCCAGGCTTGGGCTGGAGGGTGAGAGCTGGAGCGAGAACTTCCCCGTCCCCAGGAGGCACCTGGGGTGACAAGGCCTTCCCCCAGGTGCTGCATCCTGCTCCGACTGCCAGGTCACCTTCATCCACCTCAAGTGTGACTCCTCTCGGAAGGGCAAGGGCCGCAGGGCCCGGACCCCTCCAGGCAAGGAAGTCACTCGGCTCACCCTGGAACTGGAGGCAGAGGTCAGAGCCGAAGAAACCACAGGTGGGACTGGGAGCCCGGCTGGAGGAGGGTGGAAAGGGAGGGCGGCGGGAGGGCAACCACAGGTCTCAACCGCAAGGGGGAGGGTTGGGGCCTGTACGAGGGGCAGACCCTGCCTAATGCCAAGCCCGGGAGCCAGTCCTCTCACCTGTAGCCCCAGCTTTGCTCTTCCCCTACTGCTCACAGCCACTTTCTTCTCTTCCTCCTCTGGCTCGTACCACCACCCGCCACAGCCAGCTGTGGGCTGCCCTGCCTCCGACAGCGGATGGAACGGCGGCTGAAAGGGTCCCTGAAGATGCTTAGAAAGTCCATCAACCAGGACCGCTTCCTCCTGCGCCTGGCGGGCCTTGATTATGAGCTGGCCCACAAACCGGGCCCGGTAGCTGGGGAGCGAGCTGAGCTGGTGGAGGCCTGTAGGCCTGGGCAGCACCGCACGGGGGCCAAGTGTGGTAAGGGAGCTTGCTGGGACATAGGGGAGCATGGGAATAGAAAGACCCAGCTGGGACCAGAGCAGAATATGTTACGGCCTCAGTTGCATCTCTCAAATTGGGAGGCAGCCAAGACCCTCCTGCTCCTCCCTGGTCCCAGGCTGAAATCTAGGACAACAGGTGGGGCCACCAACCCTCCTGCACATGGCTTTGGCCCCTGATTCTTCCACATAGAATTCTGTTTCCAGACAGAGATTCTCCTTAAATCTGGGGGAGCGGGAAGGGGAGTCCCAGGCCTGGGTGGTGGGAAATAGGGGGGGTGGGTGGCTAGCACAGCCGACTCTCCCTCAGTCAGCTGCCCGCAGGGAACGTATTACCACGGCCAGACGGAGCAGTGTGTGCCATGCCCAGCGGGCACCTTCCAGGAGAGAGAAGGGCAGCTCTCCTGCGACCTTTGCCCTGGGAGTGATGCCCACGGGCCTCTTGGAGCCACCAACGTCACCACATGTGCAGGTGCCAGGGGAACAAACAATGCAGAGTGGGGTAGGGTGGGCACTGGGATGCCCATGGGCATGGGATTTCCCAAGGGCAGGCCCAGGCTCCAGGCTACTCTCCTAGTCAACATCCTGTTTGTGTGCCTCTGTCCCCTGAGACTGGGTGACCCCAAAGGGATGACCAGGACCATCCCCATCAGAGTTGGGCCCTTGGTTCATTGCAGGTCAGTGCTCACCGGGCCAGCACTCTGTGGATGGGTTCAAGCCCTGCCAGCCATGTCCCCGTGGCACCTACCAACCTGAAGCGGGGCGGACTCTGTGCTTTCCGTGTGGCGGGGGCCTCACCACCAAGCACGAGGGGGCCACCTCCTTCCAAGACTGTGACACCAAAGGTGAGTAGGCTACTCCCCCTCCAGAGGCTCCCCTCCCCCCAACACTTCCCCAAACTCCCCAAGTCTCCAGAGTAGACCCAAGTTTGTTGCTCCGCCATCTTCCCCAAACTAAGAAAGGCCCAGCTGCCCGACCAGCCACACCATCCTGCTCATAGGCCCATCCTGACCCGCCGCAGCCACAAGCCTGGGAATTGGGGGATAAATAACAGTAACGATTACCCTTCTGCTTTGGAAAACTGGTGGCACAGTCTCCCCAACACTACAAACGAGTCTCGGTGCAGGTTTGGCACCGCTCAGTGCCTGAAAGAAAAGGATGGGCACTGCAGCCAACCACTGTCAAGCTGCCTTCCCTGCCTTGAACTCTGGCATGACGAGGAAAGGTTGGGACTCTGGGAGAAACCGTGGTGTCTTCAGTCTCCTGATTCTCCAGGATGAAATGTGTCCTGCCCATCCCACGTCCCAGAACTCCCACTTGCCTGCCACCTTAACGCCTCCCTTTCCCCCTTGCCTGCAGTCCAGTGCTCCCCGGGGCACTACTACAACACCAGCATCCATCGCTGCATCCGCTGTGCCATGGGCTCCTATCAGCCTGACTTCCGCCAGAACTTCTGCACCCGCTGTCCAGGAAACACAAGCACTGATTTCGACGGCTCCACCAGCGTAGCCCAGTGCAAGAGTATGTGCAGGCCCGGCAGCAGGAAAGGGGTTAGAGAGGCCGGGAGCAGTGGGCACAGGAAGCAGCAGGTGGGAGATAACCAGCAGGGAGCGGGCCTAGGGTGTGGATGGGCAGGGACGTCCCACCCTCCGTCTCTCCCCAACTCACTCAGGCTCAAGACCAGTTGCACTCTCTCCCTGGAGACAGGTCATGGGGAGGCAAAAACAGGAGAGGTGAGATAAGAAGGTCCTAACAGAGCAGGAGGGAAGGGGACCCAGAACTTGGAGGAAGGATGAGCTCAGAAGGTGGCTAGCTACCTACGTGTGTCTGATCTCCACTTCAGAGCTCTTCATTTTCCCCAACCCGCTTCCCCACTGACTTCACTTCTCTTTCTTGCTCTGTCCGCTGCCCTTGGCTACAGACCGTCAGTGTGGTGGGGAGCTGGGTGAGTTCACTGGCTATATCGAGTCCCCCAACTACCCAGGCAACTACCCAGCCGGCGTGGAGTGCGTCTGGAATATCAACCCCCCGCCCAAGCGCAAGATTCTTATCGTGGTACCCGAGATCTTCCTGCCGTCTGAGGACGAGTGTGGGGACGTCCTCGTCATGAGAAAGAACTGTGGGTGGCTGCACAGCTGGGCCAGGGAAGGGCAGTCCAGATCTGGTTGGGAGGGAAAGAGAGAAAACTGGCACAGGAAGAATTGGGGCCGTGGCACGGGAGGCCTTGGGAGGAGAGACGCTCACAAAGGAGAACAGCCCTGATGCGCATGGTGGGTGGAAAGCAGTTAAGAAAGGCAGCACTGGGACCAGAACTCCAGCAGTGTCACATGTGCCACCGTCCTCCTCTAGCATTTTTGCTGTTCCATTCATTTAAATGTCAAATTTCTTCCGCTTTGTGAGTGCCAGGATGTCAAAGAGGAGTTGTGGAACAAGCTCATGAGGGTGGGAGACAATATATGTATGGGGGTGGGGGCGGCGCATGCACAGGTGACGCCTCTCAGCGTGATTCCTCCTCCCACAGCCCTCACTCCAGGAGGGGGCTTGGGGAGCATGCCCTGCTGCTCCCCTGACATGCTGCTTGCCTTCCCAGCCTCCCCATCCTCCATTACCACCTATGAGACCTGCCAGACCTACGAGCGCCCCATCGCCTTCACAGCCCGCTCCAGGAAGCTCTGGATCAACTTCAAGACAAGCGAGGCCAACAGTGCCCGTGGCTTCCAGATCCCCTATGTTACCTACGATGGTGAGCAAGGACAGGAGAGCCAGGGAGGTGGCTGAGAAAGGGGAGGCTCAAGGGCCTTGGGGGGCGGCAAGGGGAACAGAAAGGTTCCCACCGCTAAGCTCTTCCCCTGGATTGACTTCGCAGAGGACTATGAGCAGCTAGTGGAAGACATTGTGCGAGATGGTCGGCTCTATGCATCTGAAAACCACCAGGAGATTTTAAAGGCAAGTGGATATAAATCACAATAGCCAACATTTAATGAACATGTATGTAACAATGTGCAGGCAATATGCTGTGTGCTTACATGAATATTCTCATTGGATACACACAATTGCTCTGTGAATTAGGTACTTTCCTCATTCCCACTTGACAAGTGAGAAATATGGGGCACAGAGAATTATAGAAGTTGCCCAGAGGTTAAGCTGAAATTTGAGCCTCAGCCCACCTGACTGTAGTATTACCAACACCTGGGGGAAGACAAAGGGAAGATGAGGAGATGTAATGTCCCCTACCTCTTCCATAAAAAATTCTAGGGTCTGGCCAGGGTGGCACCTATGAACCAGGAGGTCAGGGTTTGATTCCCAGTCAGGGCACATGCCCAGGTTGCAGGCTCGATCCCCATTAGGGGGCGTGCAGGAGGCAGCCGATCAATGATTCTCTCACATCATTGATGTTTCTCTCTCTTTCTCCCTTCCTCTCTGAAATCAATAAAATATATATATATTTTTTAAATCTAGGGAAAATTAGGTAGAAAAAATGCTTTTGCTTAAGTCCCTTCCATCCCTTACTCCCACAGAAAAGCAAATTAGCACAGTATTTCTGAGTTAATTCAGTAAAGACCTCTTTTAAGGGAAAAGAAATGTTTCCAGCATTGAAGAATCAACTAGACACCTGGGTCATGTGGATCCCAGTTTGAGAAAATCTTACTTAAGAAACTATAGTCCTAGTCACAGTCCTTCATAAATTATTAATTTTAAAAAGGTTTGTCTCTATGTTAATCATTTTTGTATTATCATCAAAATAGTGGACATGATAACAAAAATCTTCTAGAACTTGCAGACTGCGAAGAATATCATTTCAGAAATGCTTTTAAAACATTTTTTAGCCTAGCTGGTTTGGCTCAGTGGATAGAGCGTTGGCCTGTGGACCAAAGGGTCCTAGGTTCGATTCTGGTCAAGGGTACGTACCTTGGTTGCAGCCTCCTTCCCTGCCTGGGCCCATGTCGGGGCTCATGCAGGAAGCAACCAATCGATGTGTTCTCTCACATCAGTGTTTCTCTCTATCTTTCCCTCTCTCTTCCACTCTCCCTAAAAATCAATGGAAAAATATCCTCGAGTGAGGATTAACAGAAAAACAAAACCAAAAAAACAACACATTTTTTAAAGCATCTGAACCCTTATTTCAAACTAGGGGCTCAGCGCACGAAATCACGTGAGACCCAGACCCGGCGTGCCACGGGACCCAGAGTCAGGTCCCGCCAGCGCCGCAGGACACAGCGTCAAGTCACCTCCTGGTGACCGGTCTTTGGTCGTTATGGCGTTACGACCACTGGGTTTTTATTATATAGATATGCTATGGAATTCTAATGCATAAAGTAGTCGAGCTGTTTTGATTAAAGTGGGGAGGAGAGGCTGAAAGCCCCACCTCTTATTTTAAAAATCTGCTGATGCAGTGGAAAGAACCTACCCTAGAAGCTGGAAGATCTGAGTCCTAAGGCACAGTGCCTGGCACGTACGAGGCTCTCCACACATCACGTTGCCAGGTTGCTCAGGGAAGGCCTCTGAGAAGAGACCTGAACGAGGTAAAGGACTACCTATCAGACGATCAGGAGAGGAGTGTTCCAAGCTATGGAGCATGGGAGCAGTGTGGCATGTCCAAGAACTTTGAGAAGGCCAGCGTGGTCAACAAAATAAGGAAAATTCGAGAGGATGGAGGAGAGAGAACAGGGCACAGATCACATTCAACGAATGGGCCATGCAAGGGACTCGGCTTTACTGAGTGAAAAGAAGCAGAGAAGTGTTTTGAATGGACATGACCTAATTAAACATTTTTAAAAAGTCACTCTGGGGAAGGACAGTCTGTAGAAGCATAGGGTAGGTAGAAGCGTGGAGACCAGTTAGGAAGCTCTTGCAATAGTCCAAGTGAGAGACGATGGTGGCTTAGACAGGGTGCTAGCTGTGGAGACAGTGAGAAGTGGTCAGACTCTGGATATATCTTGAAGGTAGAGTCAACAGGACTTGCTGTGGTTGTGAGCAAAAAAGAGGAGTCAAGGATGGCTTCAAGGATTGGGCCATGGAAGGCTGGGGCTGCCACTGACTGAGCTGTAGATTCTAAAGGAGGAACAGGAAGTGGGGATGGGGATCCAGCTCACCTCGGAGTAGCCCTGTCAGACAGCAAGAGGGGCTGCCGCTGAGCTGAGGCGGGGTCCCTCTTTCCCCTGCTGACACTCACGTTGCCACCTGCCACCCTTTGCAGGACAAGAAGCTCATCAAGGCCTTCTTCGAGGTGCTGGCTCACCCCCAGAACTACTTCAAATACACAGAGAAGCACAAGGAGATGCTGCCAAAATCCTTCATCAAGCTGCTCCGCTCCAAAGTTTCCAGCTTCCTGAGGCCCTACAAATAGTGCCCTGTGCCCAAGACCCAGGTTTTGAAGACCCCAGATTCCTCAGCCCTCAGAGCCGGCAGCCCCCACCCCCAGATAAGGAACTCTCTCCTCTCTTTTAGAGAAAAAAAAAATCACTATATAGACCAAGAACTCTCCCTTTCTGTCGCTCTAGCCTCCTTTCCTTGTCTCTCTGCCTCTTTTTCTCTCTCTTTACCTGTCTCCTGTTTTTCCTTTTCCTGCATTCTCCCTGGAAAAGCCATTTAGTACTGGCTGTGTTCCCCCTGAGGGGTGCAGGAACAGTACCCCTCTCCAGCCACACTGCCCACGTTACCAGCTCACATCCCTAACCCCTTCAGCTTAGAAGAATGCTAGAGGCCCAAGAAAGAAATGGGTCTGCTGGGGAATGGGGAGGGAGAAGAGGGGCTTCTGCCATTATAAGGTTGTGCCTTACTAGTCAGGAACCAAAATGTCCCCTGGCTGGGCTCCCCAGCTATCCCCCTCCCCCCAGGTGATTCTAACAGCCCAAGGTTCTGCCAAAGAGGCCTTTGACTTACAGGCTTAATGCTAGCACTGGTCCTCTGGGGCACGTGGTTTGAGCACTGGACCTCGGGTTTGAGCTCTGGACCGCCCACACAGCCGCTTCCGGGTCTAGACAGCTCCTCTACTTCTGCCATGTCTGCTTGGGTCCAATCCACGAGGGCTTACAGAAGGCCCACACCACTGGGCTAGTGGACACAGCCGAGTGAGGAAGAGCAGCAGGCATTACCATGTTGAAAGTGCTGCTGTCACTCCCCAGGAGAAAGACTATATATGTAGCTCTGCAGGACAGAAACCAGGTTCTAGAGCATCGCCAAGAAAAAGAAAAAAGAAAAAAAAACAAAGAAATTGCATCATCTAAAGGACTAGACTACAGAACAACTGGAAGCCAGCCTCAAACCCTAATCCTTTTTCTCGTCTTCCCTGGCCCAGCCATCCCCTCACCCTGATCCGAGTGCTCCCTGGGGGAGCCCTACTCCCCTTGCTAAGTGTTGTCCTTAAAGAAACGTGGCTGCTAAGCAGAAGCCAGCCTGGGCCTGACCCCAGATTTGGCTTTCCCTTGTAGCCTCAGATGGCTTGTGGGCTCCACCCAAGAGGACCCCACTCTGCAGCCAGCCCAGAGCCACCTACCTCTGGCCCCAGGCTATGGGCAGCAAGAGGAATGTGTGTGCACTTGGCAAGCCTTCTGCCCACCCTGTCTACATCTAATAAGTGCAATCATTAAGTCTATGTTGTCTAGAGGGAGGGGTTTTTGTTTTCTGGTTTTATTTTTTGGTTTTGTTTCTTTCTCCTGTGTTAGAGCAACCCTATTTATAGCTGCCCACAACAGAAGAGTATATGTTTGGAGTGAAGAGAAAGGTTTTGGATCTCATGAACTTTGAGTGCTGGAGCATCTGATCTGTCTGTACTCCTCACCCAGTGGCCATCCAGACCTCCTGAGCTCTCGGTGTGGGTAACCCAGGGCTGTAACTCCGAGGCACCTGATGTGTAGGACAGTAATTCTGGGGACTTTGTGGAGCAGGAAGGAGAGGGACCTGTGTTTGCTAAACCAATCCTGCTATCCCTATGCCTCTCCATGTTTCAGTATGGAACTCATGATTGTAGAAGCCGATGGAATTGGTCAGTGATTCTCTACCCCAAGAGGGAAACCTCCATCTTTTCCCTGCCTTCCTCCTGTTTCCCCTTGGTGTGCACATGGAAGAGGACCAGGACAAACCCCCTGGGGATGGGCTGACCAAGGGCCCTGAGGCCAGAGACAAGGCTGAGGAAGCCAAGAATAGGACAGGTATCCAGGCATGAAGTTGTTTGCCTGAACTTGTCCATTCCCTCTCTGAGTTGACGTCAAGCCTAGTTGCCTCAATTACTGCTTTTCAAGAGGAAGAAGAAGTAAGTCCATGCGTAAGCCTCAATCCACTGCTGCCTGTAAAATTATTTTCCATTTGTTCTTTCTCATTCCCCCAAAGCTGTGTCCTATTCCATCAAAGGCTACCAGTTGACTCAGTGTTTATTTCCAAGTGACTGTTCTAGGCCACTGCTCCCCCAGGAGACTCCACACTAAGTAAAGAAGCCTGGCCTCCACCCCCTTTCCCCAATCAGTAGCATTACTATCCAAACAGCCTTAAGGAGTACGTAGCCAATGTCACAGCTATATCCCCTCACATCCACTAGCCAACACCATGGCTCTTAGGGGTGGAGTGTCTGTCTCCCTTCGTGTCTCTGGATCAAAGACAGTGTCACTATAAAGATCCAGAATGGCTGCCTCCAAGCAGGAAAATGGTCAGTTAATCCATATTTCCTGGGATAGGCCATAAAACTGATTTTTTATTAACTTTGACCATCCTCATTCTCTGCCAGAAGCTAGGATAACGTTCTGATTCCTCTCTTCCTACCATTTGCATCTCTCTTAGAAAGCCAGCCGGAGTGCTTCCCAAATTATGCCTTCAGGGTCTGGCTTCTTGCACTCTTCCTTTCCTGTCACCCCATACGTATACAAACACACTTCCTCCAATAGTTTATTCCATGGTTTCTGGGACCTGCAAATGATTTCCACAGTTTGGAAAGTATAGGCCACTAACTAGGCTTCTTAACTGATGTCAAGGCAGATCTTGGAGAGCAGGTGAAGACCTGCTAATGTCCACCAAGTTTAATTTAGGTTGTCCAAATTGGGGGGTGGGGGGTGTAAGAACCCAGACAACTGTTCACTGAACCTATGGATGAAGCCAGCTCTGGGGCATCAAACTAACTGAATGAGGAGTCAACACTCAGGGACTCTCCCAGTGGTTCTCAACCTTCCTAATGCCACGACCCTTTAATACAGTTCCTCATGTTGTGGTGACCCCCAACCATCAAATTATTTTCGTTGCTACTTCATAACTGTAATTTTGCTACTGTTATGAATCGTAATGTAAATATCTGATATGCAGGATGTATTTTCAGGGGTCGTGACCCACAAAAGGAGGGCTGGGGAAGTGGAAAGATGGTGTAAATGGGAATCCTTCATGAATCAGCCCAGAGGCCACTCAGGAGGATGGGTGTTTACAGGGCCACAGTACTTATAGTTATAAGGCTTCATTTCTCTTAGTACAAAACCTGCCCTGATCTGAGTCTGGGAATGGGAAGCCATTTCTGCAGGGGCTCTGAGCATCAAGTAATGCGTATCAGAAAGGCACTTAGAGCCTCAGCAGCATGTAATCCCTTTTACTTCTCTGCCTCCCTCTTTCTGTATTGGACCAGGCCCATTCACTAAGCCTGAGGGAACTCTGAGTGAGAAAAAAATGATCAGAGTCTGGCCGTGAGCTGCCACCTGCCCTAGGCCTACAAATGCCCAGAGGCTGGCACTGAGCTATGACTGCTCTGACTTCCCCAGGATTGATTGGTTTAGTTTGGTGAGGCTCATATTTGTTGCTGAAAGTTCAGTAATACAGGCCTGATTTTTGGTACTAATGAAACTTTTTATATTTGAGAATGTTCTCCATATGCATATTTAAGGTGATTCTGGAGTGGATTAGGAGGTCATATCTCAAAATGTCAGAAAACGTTATGGAGCATTCAAACTTTTGTATTTGCTGCTTAACCTCAATATAAGAGGCTCAAACTAGGAGACGAAGGGAGACGACAAAGGATAACTGACCATTGCCAGGAAATAATGTTAATCTGCTTGGCTTCTTAAGCACAGTAAGAAAAAAAGTGGAAGCAAATAACACAAGGATGTCTTTAAATTCAACCTGTCTCAATGGTAGCACATCCTGTCCTTGGGCCATTATTTGGACTAGTAACCCTTTAAGAAAATATATGATTACAGGGAATAGAATCCCCAGTTCTGTTATCAGCCTATCTAGACAACACAGACTATAGTAGTATGGACAAACTGAAAACTTTATTCATTTGTGTGAGTTGAACTGAAGTTTCAGAATAACCATTATCACGTAGGAGGTTTTCTTTTTTCCATGCAGAAGAAATCTCAAAATATTGTATTTATATCTGCCTTCCACTGCTGCCGATATAATAAGTATCTCCTACACAATCAACAATCAACAGTAAATGATGCAGTTCATAGAATATTTTGCACTTGGAGAAAAAATGTATCTGAACTTGTAAAAAGAAATGTTTGGATTTTGTATTGTCCTTTTTTATTATTATTATTATTAAAATACTTAATGAAACTCCTCAGCCTGGCATCTTTTCCTCCATCTCAGTAGCTTATCCTAGAGCCAGAAAAAAGCTTAGAATAAACAAAGTGTCTTCTGGCTTCTGCACTTGCCCAAATTTTTCATTTCTCCACCTTATTCCTAATGGTTTTAGAATTTGAAAAGGCATGTCCCTTTTGTCTATTTTTAAAAGCAGTATCAAAAATTAGGCCCCAAGGGGGATCTAGGGAGCAGGGGAAATTTAGGATATTGTTCCTCCTCATCACAGTACAGTTCCCAAAATCTGGCCAGGGCCACGAGTGGCTCAGACACCTCCCTAGTTAAGATGTCCCACCTCTAGCAAAGTACCAGCAACGAGATTCACCCAAGGTTGTGCTTTTTATGCAGTACATTCTATGCCATGAAACAGAATTATGAAATTTTACCACCATTACTACAGGGCACGGGAGAGCAAGCTCCAATCTCATAAATGAGCAGTCCCAAATTCTAGGTTCAGATGACAGGTAAATCTTAATTGCTGCAATTTTATAATTTCCCGACATGAAATTTGGGGCCACCAACTTGGGGCCATTCTCTGACTTCTCTCTTAATCCTATCTAATAAAAGAGAAACATGGCAATTAGCCGTACCTCCGCTACCCTTCCCATTGGCTAATCAGGGCAATATGCAAATTAACTGCCAGCCAAGATGGCGGCCGGCAGCCAGGCAGCTTGAAGCGAACATGAGGCTTGCTTGCTTCAGTGACGGAGGACTCCAACATTCCCCGCCTGCCGCTGCCGGCCTCTGAGCTTGCAGTTTGAAACATTGTTACAAATATAGAAGCTAAACAAAACCCCAGAA